AGTCAGCCCAGCAGCCCTGCGGAGAAACCTCATTCCTGCCGCTTGTATCCGCGATCTCGTTCTTTCGGTCATCACCCACTGCTCATGAACATAGGTGATGACAGGGACGTAGATCGACCGGTAAACCGAGAGCTTTGCCTTCAAACTCAGCTCCAGCATCACCACCACAGACGGGTGACGCTGCCCTGATCCGCTGTCGACTCACTGAGCCAGCGAAGACAACTTGGCAGGACGTTCATAAGGGTACTTAGTGAGCAAAAGAACAATGCTTTTATTCAAAACGTCATGGTTTATTTAAGCACTACCTTCAAATATTTATGGGAGTTTTACACAAGAGAGCATTTGCATGGTCAATAGTGAGATCCCATAAACGGTCAGTGGAGCTAAAGTCCCGCATTCAGGCATCCACAGCATAGCTGTTACAGACTCATCTTGCAAGAAAGCTGGTGCTGCATGAGCAGTATGAAGACGTGTGCTGTCAGGAAGGACAGGAAGTGAGGTCAGTCAGGTTCCCATCACTCCCTGCCTGTGGAGGTCTGTGCTGCCCAGTGTACACAATCACTGTCACATCCCTAACATCAATCAGGGTGGTCGACACAGAGCAGTGATTCATCTCTGAAGAGGCCTTGGCTCACATGTTGCTCACAGCTCCTCGTCCCATTGCTCTGATGACCCTGAGTGACCATCTGGCCTGCAGACAGTGTTTATTTAGAACAGCTGGTGGCGTTGTGACCTGGCTGATTGTTTTTGCACTACCACGGAGCATGATGACCTCTATCGATCTTGGGTGGGTGAAGTAGCTCATGGTTTCCCGGACCATGACCTGCGTTTGCATGCATCGTCTGTGCGGGTTAGAGTTTGCTGGGAGCGGCCCAGACTGAGAGCTGACTTCATCCAGACTCAACACGCCGAAGACACGGGAGCTTTGTTCTCCTGGTGTATTGGTTCCTTTCTGTGTTTTTCTTTCTTGATTTTCACCGTGCTGGATACTCATCAGGTTAAATCACCTCATCACCTGCACACAGTCAACTCCCTCACTGATGAGGTGATTAATGATTATGCAACAGCCACAATGACTCGAATGTTATTCCAGTCAGTCATGAAGGACCACTTAAACAAAACACATTTAATTGATCTCCAGAGCTCTGCACATTTTGATTTTGCAAACATGCATAAACAGAGTGATTGGTTTCTTCTGATGCTTGCTGAATATGTTGGCATTTTTGTAAAACATGTTTTACAAGACACCATAAACCATCAGCGACAGCGCCTCTTGTGTTCGTCTTGACAATGGCTTTCAGATCCATCCTCCCACATCAACAAAGGCAGCTGTAATCCCCCACTATTATGGTTGATCACTTTCTACGTATATAACTTCTTCCACAGTACAATGCTGTTGCTGGTATCTGAATTGTGTCCATTGATAATAATATTACTAATGCTTTCTGAGAGCTTGTGCATATTTGAGTTTGACCTAAACACATTAAACATCTTATTTCGGTTCCAGTACTTTGGTTCCTGTGTGCCAGCCCTGCCCTGAGATTCACGTTACTGTAAACTCTAGGTCTTAACCTAGAAGAGTGAGCAGTGCTGATACTACAGTACTACAGTACATTTGAGAGTAGTGATGACCCATGACCTCATATGGAACTGGGTAGCTTGGCCTTGTACATCACTAGTCCCCTGACGGTAATGCAGGAGGTCAGGCAGGCAAAGACAGTCCCAGGAATGTGGGCCAGAGGCACCAATTTGCGCGGATAAGCCACAGATCAAACACAGGCTTGCTGCAGCGAAGGAAATAATCAGTCTGAAGACAGGGCTCCGCGAGTGTCCCAGCGGGCTGTGCAGGGCGTGCTGCCCAGCCTGCGGGCGACGCAGGCGAGGTGTGGGCCCGTGTCGTGCCCCGCTGTGGAATGTACAGGTGCGTCAGACCGGGGCGAGTCCAGACAGGAGGCGGAACCGCAGGGCCTCTGCCGCCTACGTACCGCCAGACTACCCACCACCTGCCTGCAGAAGCCCGCTGACACTGCAGTCTGGAGGTCCGCTACACAGCCCGACTCCCGCTTCCGAGCACTGCAGTTCAAGCATGTAGTACAGGAGCAGCTCCAGCCCCTCCAGACTTGACGTGCATCTGCTCCAGGTCCATCCTTGGGCCTTGTCATCTCGGCCTGTAAAATCCTGACCAGGGGGCTTCTTCCCAGAGCAAAGAACAACAACACGGACGGAAAAACAGAGTTATTCTGCGATTCCACCTAGCTGGAGAGGAAGCCTCAAGAGGAAGCAAGCGATGAGAGAAACCTCAAAGGAAGTCTTGTGAAAGTTAGATAATCAGGTCTCGCCTAGTTCTGGGTGCTGCGACTTAAAAAGGACGTTGCTGTCCCAGAAAAAGTTCAAAGAACGGCAATGAGAATAATCTTAGTTCTAAAATGCATGCCATGCACAGATAGGATAGGCTTCTCATTTCAATTTCATGAGACCAGTACGAGGAGGCTTGATGTAAGTATGCATAGAAAATCCTAGAAAGGTTGTGACAACAGAAGGCATTAGCTCAGCACTGAAAGAGAATATGAGGGAACACGCTGAATGGAAGTTACGAGGAAGCAGAGTAAGGCAAGGACCGGGAGGCACTTTTTAACACAAAGGGTACCGTGGTCCTGAAAGAACCGTGCCTGGCCCTGCTGTTGAAGTCAGTGCCCTGCGAACATTAGAGAAAAGGCCGGGTCAATGAGCTGCTAGCCTCCAGACAAGCATGATGGGTTAATAGGTATCCTTTCCTTCGTAACCCTTTTATCCTCTGAAGACCAGCTCTTAATCTCCACGTGCCTTCAGAAAGTATTCACCTCCCTGGACAACCGCAAACATGTTGTGTTTAGATCAGAATTGTCAATGCAGTGAAATGATTTTCCCACCCCCTGATTCGCACAACATTTAAAGGGGCAAGATTATTTTGTCTGTGCGCTAAAACGTTCTGAACAATTAAAAATGGAAACTTCTTGTTTCCTGAAATACTCCACTCCCCCCGAGTGGAGCGAGTCTATACTTTATAGAAGCACTTTCTGCAGTCTCGTATATCTGTATCAGGTTTTTCAGATTGGGGAATTTTCATCCACTCTTCCATACACACACACACTCACACCAGGGCCAATTTGCCCAGAAGCCAGCTAACCCACCAGCATGTTTTTGGACTGTGGGAGAGAACGCGAGAACCCAGGGGAAACCCACGTGAACACGGAGAGAACATGCAAACTCCACACAGACAGCACCCCAGGTCCAGAACTGAACCCAGGGCTCTGGAGCTGTGAGGCAGCAGTGCTCACCACCCCTGTCAGATATATATTTCACCAGCCCCTTCACAGACCACCCAGCTACCAGAGACAGGAGCCAAGACTGTCTCTAAATTCTCCTATTTCCCACTGCCTCTGGAGGATAAGAAGACA